ATTAATATGAAATAAGTCGATGCTTTTCCCAGAGGCGCGGGAAGGTATTTTGAGTGGAGGTGCTGGGTTGCGGTCGGATAGTTTAAAAATCAGCTCCTAAATTCTAACCCTATCTAATATTCCTTGACCTCTGAGTGAAACGTCACGGGGTTAAGGGATAGTGGATAGGAGAATTCAAAAGGACTTAGGAGAAGAGACTGCGGTACTTTAGAGAATCCGACTGCACTTTCACTATCCAACGTGTTTCTGATGCGCCAGCGGACGTCATTGTGTGCGTCTGCTGCTGTGGGGAAACTATGGAAACTACAGTTTTCTATACAACGGACTACAACATGGATGTTTAATAAGAACGACGGACTCATCTAGAGACTCTGCACCGTGCTCTGATGCTGTTGCTTTATGCTTTATGAACGTGGACAACAGAGAAACATATTCTTCGACCAAAGTTGTAATTGAAATAAAAAAGGAAAGTGAAACTTATGCTCGTCACCCTCTCCCTCCGGTCCACATTAATAGAAATGATCCCAATACGTATGATTGTATGAACTATGAAAATATCTTAAAATCAATACAAATGTATTTATTATAAACGTTAGTCCTTAACATCTATCACTGTGTATATCACCATTCAAACATCTTTTAAAAGTTGAACAAACCCCACACAGCTCAGTGAAATGTTGACTTTATTTGATCATTTCGGTAAAAACTAACGTTCATATTTCTCTTTTTGATTATAATACTGATGAACGTTCAAAACAAAGCACTTTGGCAACTTACCACATACGTTTTAAAATGCTTAATAAGCACCGTAACTTTCATGATATCATTTCCCCGTCATAATCGTTTGTGTCCGTGAACGGCCGACTGTTGTGTGATGTCAAATGCTGCGGCTGCAAGGCATTGTGGGGCAGCATTTTCTCCTCTCCTTTCGGTGAGGGAGGTCCAGTGGTTCCTAAGCTAAAGGAGGTTATAAAGGAAGTTTGAAACCTCCTTTCCTATCATGTAGAGAATTGGAACGGCACTTATCATGGCTGCCACTGAGGGACTTCCGGGTCATTTCACTCGGTTAGGAAGGTTCCTAAGCTAAATGGACTATTCGAACGCAACCCCTGATTCATGCATTCATCACATCACGACTCGACTACTGCAATAGCATCCTCTACGCCTAGCAGTGCTTCTCAAAGTATGGTCCGTGAGCGCCCCCTAGTGGTCCGTGAGTATATTGGTACAATTTCCCATTAGAAATAAAATAATTAATTTCAGTTTTCCGCACTCTCGCGGGAATATCTCCGCAATGGAGCGAGTTTAAGTTTCGATTGCATGATATAGCCCAGCGCAACACCTTCATCACACATGTTGCCACCTGTTTGTACCATTTGCAGGCTATTTGTAATCTGTTCTAGAAAAACGATGTGTTTTTTTTATATTTGTGGAGTTAGGTGGTCCGCAAGTTTTTTTTATATTGGTTAAGTGGTCCTTGGTATGAAAAAGTTTGAGAAACACTGCTCTACATGTATATCATCAACACATTTTTTATTTGTCATCATATAACACAATGATGATCTCGGTGCCCAGTGCACTACAAATACATGTTCTCAATCATTTAAGGAACAAACAATAAACGTTTGTGAATTTCTCCTGTACGAAACATTTATATGGAAGCCTATTTTCACGCATACAAGTATATGCAAACTAATTAATTAGTCATGAAAAAAAAACAAAAAACTTTTCTCCTGTTAAAAACTAAGTTGCTGAAAAAGAAAAAAGTATCCCAAAATGATGATGTTTACACTGACTCTGCTCGATATGTAGGGCCCCCTCTACTTGATGTGTGGAAACAGAAAGGAAAGAAACAAAACCAAGTCATTACCACAACCCAACTGTTGTGAAAGAGCTAATTTGCATTTAAGCATTAACCTCCTTTTAACGGTCCTTTTAAAAGGAGTTGTTATTCTGTCAGTTTTATCGAATGCATTCTAATTGATGCTTCTCTGTTGAGATTACACTTCAACAGCAGCAGTGTGTGTTGATCGCCTGCTGCCAGATGTTAATAGGTTCTGTCACACCTTCGTTTAAACACTTGCTCTCAGGCTTTTAAGGCTAATTAGTGAACTGAATTAATTCTGGTCACGCAAACAAGGACGTTTCTTGTTTTTCACAGCCCCTTATCACCTCTAATTCAAGTGAGATGTGTCCCCAGTGTTGAGGAGCAGTCAATACATTAGCAAACAGGCTCACAGCTTTAAAAGCATTTACTATGGATCTGTTCATTTATTTAATGTTACAAAACCAGTTTGTTTGAAAATATTTGAAGGCTGTTTGAAGATATTTGTCCTTCACATAATGCTGTCACATCCATACAATTAGTCAAATCAATTAACACTTTGACAGTAATAACAATATGGGAATGTGTGCCACTAGGAGGCACTAAAGTCTGATATATTCCCTACATAAAGTCTTACAGGTTGTATTTACAGTGTGTTGTGATCAGAGGGACTTCTAGTGTATAACATGTGAATAACACTAGCTACATTAGTTAAAAATATACCCGATTTTTCTAATATCTAATAAAAGGTCAGTATTGCCTCATTAAAAGTGCCTACTTGTTCTGGTTTGCTCTTTAAGGATAAAATAAGAACAAGTATTTAATCTTAAGCAAATACATTCAAACTATTTTTACTGATCTTGTTCCATTTTTGACCACCTTTTCCAGTTGGAGCATCAGTGCCACGATCTTCACTCTGAACAACATGAGACCAAGGTGGAGAACGTGAAGCTGAAGAACACGAATGACGAGTTGTCCCGGGAGCTGGAGCACACCAGCCAGGAGCTGATGCTGGCCCAGGATCAGCTGAGTCTGCTGCAGGACCAGTCCACACGGCTTCATGAGGAGAAGGAGATGTGAGTTGTAGCTATTCTTACTCACTCAGGCTCCTTCATAACTCCTGACTTATTACTTTGCCTCTCAATTAGCTTTTTCTTGCTCATTGGTCAGGATACTATCACTTGTTTTTGCCACAGTAAATAGAGTGCTGCAGTAATGTTTTTGCAGGCCAACCCAGACGTTAGCATCGCCCTTGATGAAACGATTAACTTTTTTAATAGGATTTTAGATTACTGTGGGAAATAAGCTCTGAGGCAATGAAAAGTTAACATTTTTTTAATAGATCAAAATCATCCTCAGAAATTAGGACAATAAAAAATGAACACAATTGCCAAAGTTTAAAAAAAGTGGAATAGCGACCGTACAACCTCTGTAGTCTGATTTAGTTAGCAACAATATTTTAAAGATATGTTGTTGCTTGTTAAATGTATGAGTATCAGACATCCCTCATTCATCCTATAGCGGGGACATCTATATGAGTAAAGCTTTACTGACATATGTTTTGCCAAAAAACAAGAAGATTTAAATATCTTACGTTTGTGTTACTGTAAGCACAGACCACAGAAACGTATTCAACCCCAAAATAATAATAATAATAACTTTATTTGTATAGCACCTTTCATACAGGGGATTGCAGTTCAAAGTGCTTTTCATCAGTAAGAAATAAGACATCAGTGTAAAACAAGCAGCAAGAGCAAAGCATAAAGTGGGATAAAATAATAAAACATAAAAACATGGGGAATAAAACATAGAGAAATAGTGCAATGTCAATCACAGAGAAATAGTGCAGTATAATAGTGTAAAGTCAGTAAAATGCTTTTTAAAATGTTTAACGTATTGGCTTCCCTAATATTGTTGGGTAACGTGTTCCACAGTTTTGGGGCGTAGTTTACAGTTAGTTTAAAATACATTCAGAAATGTACTTTGAGACAAGCGAACCAGAAGTAAAAATGCTGAATCATTCTTGCAGTACTCGTTAGAGAGGCGGTAAAACATGGCAAGTCGAGTTGCTATAAACCACAATTAATCTTGTGTATCATTCTCGTTAAGAGAGTTCAACAAGAATATACATCATGTCATATGAACTCAAACAAGTATATCATCTTATTGTGTCTTTCTTTGCTCTGGGTGGTTTTGTTTAAAAAAGTATAACCGCAACACATTGTGAAAATATATGTGTTAGTAATACAGGATGGGTTTTTGTTTTAATACAGTGAAATATACAGACTGACTGAGGGACTGCAGAGAGAGCGAACAAGCCTCCTCAAACAACTGGACCTTTTGAGGTAAGGATGGAGAGTGGCACCTACAAAATAAATAAATGCAGTAAAGAGACATTTATATTAATCATGTGGTTTCAAATCACAAGGCCTTCCAAAAGCTGTTCAGATGCTATGTGTACTTTGTCGGAAAATAACAAAACAGTATCGCTCAGTCAAAAATAATTTACAGTCACAACTCAGTTAGTAATTGAAGTCTGTTAAGTTGACAGTGCAATGCAAGATTTCAAAACTTTCAAAATGTATGATGAATACTTTTCAATAATACTTGAGTGTGTAAGCTTTGTTTCAGAAGATCTTCAGCTAAACAGTCAATTAGCTACAGCATTTAAATGATAAGATTTCTCACTCATTTTAAAATGTTTACTTCTTTGATGTATCCAGGGAAATGAACAAACATTTACGGGATGAGAAGGACATATGCTTTCAGGTATGAGACATTTATTGTTTTTGTCTTCCTTATGTCTTCTTTTAAAGATGGGATAAATAAACAGATGTCATTGATAACCAGAGCCCAGAATAATACACTCATGCTGCAATATGAATAAAAACATCATGTTTTTCATTTCTGCAGAATCCAAAGAATTATAGGAAAACACCAAGTTTGAGGCCTTCAATGAGTGCTCTGAAACATACAAACACAAACGTCTTCAAAAGGTAAACAATCACTAAGTTATAAATGAGATTTAACTGGATAAGCCTTTGTCTCTCAGTTGTGTCGAATGGAACACAAACCACTTTTATTTTACAGTGTGTCCTCTGTTTTTTCACCAAGTGCATTGGATGTGTGTTCTTTCGATTAGCACCGTAGCTTTAATGTTACTCCCTATCTGCAGTGAGGATGAGGAGGAGATGACCACCAGCTCGGCGAGGCACAACCTAGCCAATGGGTCGAGCCAGTCCTACGTCAGAGCGAACACTAGAGGACACCTCCAGAGGATCATCTCCATCGAGGAGGACCCACTCCCCAGCTTACTCCAGACTGACTCTGTGGCCCAAACTCCTCTTCAGGAGTGCAGTGAAGAAGAGGAAGCCTCTGACAATGAGGAGAATATAGACTTGGTGATGAGCGATATTCTGGGAGCGTCTTCTGCCCAACAGCAAAAGACGAAAGAACATGTGGAGGAAAGGGAAACCCCCACATCTCCAAGGGGTCAGCCTGTTGGCAAGGAAACCAGCACAACTGTAAGCATTTTGACATCGATTCATTCAAGTCAGGCTACAGGGAAGAGACCTGTTAAAGTTCTCCTTATGTTTACTGCTGTTAAAGCCCTCTTTAAAAATATAGGGCTTTTTATCCCATGAGCTTTGTATATTCTCTGTTACCGTGCTTCCTGTTTTCCCAGGAGGAAGGCGGTCCTTCGCCGCCCGACCGCCTCTTCAAGATCGTCCTGGTTGGGAACTCCAGCGTGGGAAAGACGTCCCTCCTCCGGCGATTTTGTGATGATAGCTTCCACCCGGGCACTTCTGCCACTGTGGGTACGTACAGAATACAGCAGACACACACTTGTGTCTGGAGCAATGGCAACGCTGTGTAGAATATACATCTTTAAACTTCTTTCTTTAAAGCTGTTGGAAGATTACATTTTGATTTCAAAAAACAATAAAAAATAGGTTTTACAACACTACTTGCAACATTTCAAGTTTCAGTTTTTTGCTTTCCTCCAATTTTTTTTTCAGCAAAAGCCCTTTCACTAATAATGTGTGACTTTTAAATTGTGCAACAATCATATGAATTGCTGTCAACGTATATATTAGTATACTCGTACCAATGTAGAAGTTTGTTCTGTGTTGTAAGAATAGTTCACAGTTATATATTAAAATCAAATATGCTGACTAACATTTTCTTGTGTGTGTGCTCAGGTATAGATTACAGTGTAAAGACAATTATTGTGGATAACAGCCAGGTGGCACTGCAGTTATGGGATACAGCAGGACAGGAGAGGTGAGGCATCAACACAAGGAAAACATTGGGTCTCAGGCAGCAACATAATCATACTTTTCTTTTTAATTTTTTCTTACATTTCTGTGAAAAGAAAAATTAAGATATGTAATATATAGATACAACAAATGTTCTTAATAATCCATATCAGCTATAACTCAGGGGAGAAATGCCCCCAAAAAAGGCGTATGTAAGAAAAAGAATACAGTGATGTTCCATAGTATTAGTATTTTTGTTACAGGAAAATCAAAAAGTAACTAAAAGCTAAATGCATGCAATATTATCCAAGAGTTTCTATAGTCCGTGCTTGTTTTAATGAACCAATCCTAGAGCTTGATTGAATGGTCCAATATAATTGCTTCTTTCAATGAGCCAATTAGTTTCAATGGACCTAATAGAAGGATTATTTCAATAGACCAATCAAATGACTGAATTCAGTGGGCTCAATGGACCTCTACCTTTGCTTTAGTTGTGGCACTGTGCAACTACTTTCTTTTAAAACAGTTTATTTAAATGTTTTGAATTCCCATTGAATGGAATGTTTTCCTTTTTCAGAGTTTAAGTTTGCATTTGTGTCGTAACGCACCTCCCTCATCTCATATGTGAAGACACAATTCATGTATTTTTGCAATCCGCACATTTGAAATGGCACAGTAAACACAGCACTTCCTCTTCCCATCTTTTCCCCTTCACCCCTCCTGCAGGTATCGTAGCATCACCAAACAGTTCTTTCGAAAGGCTGACGGAGTGGTTGTGATGTATGACATCACAGCCGTGCAGAGCTTCAACGCTATCAGACAGTGGCTTACAAATGTAAAGGTAAGACGTTAACAGTGACAATGAGCTGCACACATTCAAATAAAACAAGCTGAACCAACGGTTGGGTTTTACTTGAATTGTGTGCTTTTGCTTTCTTTATTCTGATTGCCTTGAGCAGAGTCCAAAGAAACATATTGTGTACTGTATATGTTGAATAACTATTTAACGTTATAAAAAATATAAAAGGTCAGTCGCTGAATGTTTACAGCAATGCTTGTAGTTTTCCCATTGGGGAGCCAATAGAAACAGGGAAGCTGGTGGCCTTGTGTTTAAGCTTGTGAGACTGACGGTTGAGCTGCCCGACCAAGCAAGAAGGCAGAGGCAAAACTTCCAAAATACAACCCGGTGTGGGCATTTATTACTCACGGGCACATGACACAGCCTCAATCTTGCTGTTCATGTGAGCACAGTCACCAGCCACAAGGATCTCACACACCAAACAAAACAGGGCTTAAATACCCACACTAATTAACCCAACAAGACACAGGTGAGGGGCGAGGAGACAACACAGGGCACCAGGTGCACACAATCAGCAGCAACAGACATGGGGAAAGGGAACACTTTTCAAAATAAAACACATGTGCAATATACAAAGCCCGAAGCCGTCAGTCAACAGTGACGAAGCCATCTTCGTCACAAAGCTGTAAAACACTCTTTTAAGATCAGTTTATTTGAGCCTGTAATGTTTGATAAAGCTTTGTGACGAAGATGGCTTCGTCACTGTTGACTGACGGCTTCGGGCTNTAGTTCAAAGTCACATAAAAATGTTTATAATACATTGACATGTTGATAACACAGTCTCAAGACTAGTCTATGCATTAGTTAGTGTGATGGTGTTCATGAGGTGTCGCTCTGCGTCGCTCTAGGATGGATGAATACAATTATTACAGTATACCCACTACAAAAAAGTAGACTACACCAATGGTTAGCAGTAACTTGGTATGCACGTATTTCATGTTAGCTTAGCTTCTTAGCCTGAGCTAGCTCTGTTTACTTCCAGTTCGGAGGCAGCAGGTCCCGCCTCGGCTCCGCCTCTTTGCCCTTATTTGGAGCAGGCGGGATTAGACGCTGACGTCGCTGTCAAGCCGTTAGTGGCCGACTCCGCCTACTAAGGGCTTCTCGGCAACTCTGCAGAATCCTATGGGTGACGTCACGGACACTACGTCACGAATGCACAGCGATCCATGCACAGAAAGCGGTTTGTGTGTGCAGGTTCAGAGGTTTTAAACGGAAAACAAATGTGTGGATCAAAAATACACATTTAAAACTTTTTTCTGAATTAGGATTTTATTTACATGTATATGAAACGGAACACATTTGTGTGTGTGTATTGAAAAACACAAGTATGGATCTGGAAATACAAGTGTGAATCCTTCTGTGTGCATGTGTGTATTATGAGACTGTTCTGAGCCCATACTTTTCAAACACTAGGTGCAGCTCAAAGTCCTTTAACAACATGGCACACATAACACATTCAAACAGAGAACAAGAACATTGAATTAAGTGCCTTTTTGTGCACATAAAGAGCATAAAACATATTCTAATAATTGAAGGAACGCAAGGATGTAAAAAAGGTATGATGATAACAAGTTATAATGATCCTAAAGTTCACAACAGATGACCTTCTCACTAAAACAAAGGAAGACATAAGACCAAATGATTACAAAGAATACAAATATAAAAGGAAAAATATATATATGTACAAACAGGGGATTTTAGGATTTTTTTAGAGCCTGCTGAAGACGACCTTAGGGCTCGTCCAAGGACATAAAAGGACAGAATCAGTGATGTATGAGGGGGGCAAACCATTAGGAACTTTATAAACCAGTAAAATGAATTTAATCAGAAATATGATTTTTAGTGCGGGTTTGAATGCTGTTGAATGCAATATTGAAAAATTGAGAATAACAAATAATAAAAAATATTGAAATAAGCATTTCAATCCAACTATCAAAACTGGGTGATGAGAAAAATATAATACTATGTAATTATCTTTCAACAGGAAACAATGTAATGTGCCTGTAAGCCAGTGGTTCTCAAACTTTTTCTGTCAGGAAAAGTCGGGCCGCCCCCAACACAAATAGTCAAGTAATGGGCCAAGTTAACATTTATTAAAATACATCAATATGATCGTGAGCATTCCTTTGCTAGAACAGTGATAATAAAACAATGCTCCATAAGTCTGTGTGGTAAAAAAAAAAATACATAATGCAATTGTGCAATCCCTTTGCTAGAACAATACGTTAATACTTTGCCACTTTGCAATCTGTGCAAAAAAATGAAAAGAAAGAAAATGCTGATATTTGGCAAAAAACTGTGTCTTCTTATCACAGCATTAGTGGCTGCAATGAGCCTGTTTTGCACTGCACATTTCTTCAAAACGGGGTTGCAGGCTCAGTGGCGGCGCGAGTGATTTATTTTGGGGGTGCTGTGGGGTAGCTTGACGTTTCATAGAGGGTGCTCAAACATTTAGGGTTTCCCATTAAGGTACCGGGCACTACAGTGGAATTTTCTACCGCAACAATCCCCACGCACATACACAGTGTGACAGTTACAATGAAGGCTCGATAATTAGCTCACGGCATATAGGTGTAAGCAGAGGTAAAGTGCGATTTTATAGGTGGGCAGTGGACCTAACACAGGGGGGCATGCTCCCCCGGGAAGATTTGTTTTTAAATATTGAAGTTAAATGCATCAATCTGGTGCACTTTGAGAGCAAAATGAAGAGATCTATGATACATCTCTCAACACCCATTTGAAACAGAACTGTAAACAGATTTACTATTTCTTTATGGATATTTTACAAATCACTCCCATTTTAAACTTTATTCTTTTTTTACTGTCATATAGTATTTCATACCCGTTTTCATTTATTCTTTTACTTTTTTATAACTATAATGATCATATAAACGTGTGCATCGGAAATAATTGTTTACATTAATCGTGACCAAAGCGTTTGAGACCCCGGCCACTCATAAGGTAGGGAAAAACAAACACTTCCCTTGAAGCTTTTTCAACAGTTACACATCCTTTAAATCTGGCCAACATCAATATCAGTTAGTGCTGCACAAACTCATCTGATCTGAAATGTCAACTGGAGCTAACCAGGTAGGCGGAAGGCAAAAGGAGGTTTAAATTTGGCATCCACCTCCACCACCGTTTGCTTTTATTGAGTTGTTTGTTAAAGGTTAGTCTATTCATGCTCTTCATAAGATCCTGTCTCTATCCAGAGTTATCTTTTTTAGGCAAACAGACTTCAACAAGAGCTTCAAATGCCTTTCAATATTGAATAATGCAGATAATATTAAATTGATTCAGATACGTTTTGTGAAGTGGGGCTTAAGTGTGAAGCTTTTCACTAACCCTAATGTTTAATGCTACATTTCTATGCTTCAAACACAAAACTATAAGTAACATACTTCAATATTTAAGCTGTCACACTACTTAAAGGGGCCGTATTATGCTCATTTCGAGGTTCATATTTGTATTTTGTTCATCTACTGTGACATGTCGACATGCTTCAAATGTTCCTCATACTGCCTGTGCTGCAGCACCTCTTTTAATCACCTCTTTTGTCTGAAAACAGAGCCCAGTCTGCTCTGATTGGTCAGCTGGACGGCTCTGTAGTTATTGGTCAACGCCCCTTAGCCTATCATGTACAATGTGTTGGATTGCTAGCCAATAGAGGTGCAAGTGTTACATAGTGATGTAATTACGTTATGGATGAAAACAAAGGAGTCCAATTGGGGGGTGTGGGAGAGAAACTCCTTCCAGAGGGATCTTTGGGATTTTAGACTTTGCAGACCATTTACATTCACAACAACCTTGATAACACACTACAGAAAATGGAAAACACCGAAAAGTATAATAGGGCCTCTTAAAATAAAAGAGGCAGAGCAGAGATTGCTCACAGGAACGGCTTTGCTTGAGAGTGGAAACTTCCAACTCTTGTTTAGTTTGATCAGCTGATAAAAGTCTCAGGCTATGTTGCCTAAAATGTAATGTAGACTGAAAGCAGACATTAACAAAGTGTGCAAAGATATGACGTGGCTTATCACCACGCGGTGTAAACACAAAGAACACACGCCCAGACAGTACTCACTCTTCAAAGACGCTGTTCGCCCCGAGGCTCTCCATGAGCATGCCGAAGTGTTTCTCCTCTTCATCCTCGTCTGGTCTCGCCAGGCTCTCCTCCCACTGGGTCTGGTACAGGACCTCTGTCGGGCTTTTACAGGTGTTCTTCTCCCCCATGCCTTCTTCTACTGAAATCTTCTGACCTGATAAAAACTTACCTAGAAAAACAAACTGAATTTAAGTCCACAATCAGACTACTCTTTCTGTGATGGTAATGTTCTTTTTTGTAGAAACAGAAACAGAAAGAAATCGTACTAAAGCCGGAGGAGAACTCGTCGAGAGTGAGGAATCCATTGCCGTCAGAATCGAGGGTATCAAATACGTTCTCCAACTCCTCCGCACTGAGAGGGAGCTCAGCGTTCAGCCTCTATTTAAAAAGACACAAAACACAGCTGCTACTGACGAGAACATTAACCCTACTGTAGCTATAACAACTGCTACTTGAGCCCTAAGAGCACAGACATTAGTGCAGTAGCTCATCAAGTGGAAAGGGAAACATGGTGCTTATTTTTAAACTAAAGTAGCCGAAAAGTTATTTTCCAAATAGCTTCTTTCTTTTTCTAAGCAGCAAATGTTTAATTGACATGCATTGTCTCAATCAACACATTGCTTCACACTCATCTAATTAAAGCAACTAACAGCTGGAATCTGTCCAGTGCAGCTACAGTTTTTAATGAGTGACCGCTGCGCAGCCCCGCAGGAACAGACAAGGACTGTCCTTCAACACAATATCTAATTTAGCCCATTCTAACAAAAGGGACATGTTTGGCTTTTCATTATTTGATCATTCTGGCTGTATGCATGTGACATACATGTTTGCCAGGTTGTGTTTCTTGAATCCTCAAATTCTGAAGGTTCAACTTCAGCTCCTATGATATTATTATTAATAATAATCTAAATATACACCTGAATTAAAACTAGTTCCCTTAAAAGCCATGACCAATCAAGACAATGAGGCTATAGCACTCCAATATATCAGAGTTTAAATCTATAGCCCTGGCTACAAAATTCATTTATTTACTATTTTCCACCATATTGATCAATTTTCAAATATTTATCCTATGGGAAAAACATGTGTTATCAATAATTATCAATATATAATTTGACGACTGTTTTTGTCACTGATACCAGAGAAACCTTTATTAAGAGATGCCCAAGGGTTAAGTTAAGATAATATTTGAAAGACAGCTCCTCCCAAACCAAAGTGACATGACAGAATGAGAACCTCCCGAAAAACGATTGAACCATACACTGTTGGATTATATAGACACAAAGCTCACACAGCCACACCTCTGTTAGCAGCTCGGGTTTTATGCTGTGTTTACACTGCTGCAAAATGTTGACCAAGGGACCGGGAAAGGGTAGGATCTGTGTAAGACCATCAGCTGTTCTTGTAAAGTGTGTTATCTGGGCAGAACATATCCCTAATGTCAGCAAACAGTAGCATTGTGAAGCTAGTGCATTGGTGGTAAGACTGTGAGTCTGTGGAACTATTGTGGTTGTCAAAGGTGCACATAAATGTTAGCAGTGCTTCTCACTGAGCTTCTCCAAGCTCTAATAGATGTAAGGAAAGTGTAAAACAAATATAACTAAGAGTAACAAGCGCTGCTTTGAGTACTGCATTTACTCTTCACTAACAGACGGTCACATAAATAGAAGTGAGAAGTTCCTGCTCGCTATCTAATTTCCAAGCTATTATCATAAACACCAGATCAAAAGCTTCCCCTCTGGGTATTTATGCTCCTCTGAGCGTGAGTCCTACAAGTGCTTCTTCAAAGGATTAGCCGCGGCAGGGATGAATATCCAAGCGGCGAGTGAATCTGCACAATAATGCGAGTGGAGTAGCTGCATGACAAAGCTTCCGGTGGCTCTCTGTGTCTCTTTCATGCTGCTTTGAATAAGGTGCACATGTCCTATCTTTGTCCTGTTCAGCAGCATTAATGAGGGTGCAGACTGTCCCTGTGTTTTATACTCATTCTGGATGAATGAACAGGAAAACCATTATGAAACTGTGAAAGTGATCCCCTGTTTACTGTGGATGCTTAAATGTGGTCCAAACAGCGCTCATGCTTTGTTTTTAAGTAGTTTACACAATTGATTCAACAAAATGTTTCTTTTTTTCCCTGTGGTAAATATGCCTCTAACTGTAATCCAACTTTCATTTAACAAACAGTGAGTTTTTACACTACTTTGTAACACTTGTGCAGTTATGGCAGTCGCATCAGAATCCTCACCTGCATATCCCGTCGGGAGATGAAGCCCTTGTTCTCAATGTCACACATCTTAAAGAACTCGTGGGTTTTCTCCAAAATAGTGTTTTGTCCCACCTCCCTATTCTTCGCCTCGTCGCCGCTCCCTTGCCTTGAAGTTCGGGCCGCCTTGGCGTTGGTCGTGGCACGATGAGCAGTAAAAGTTGCCATGGTATTTGTGAGTCCGTTGATACGAGAGCGTATATTTCCCCTCGTCTGTCACATGAGCAGGGCACACACAGACAGAGCTTCGAAAGGAAAAGGATCCTGGAGAAGTGGAGCTTCAGGCTTCGCTACATCAGAGGCTCTCACCAATGTCACAGAGTGTCATCTCATAGCAACCGCCTCTTTAATTAGTCGATGAAACCTAGGAGAGAGACGGGAGGAGAGTCTTCAGTTTCAATAAGTACAGCTCCTCGCACAATAAAAAATCTATAAATATAAAAAGGAGTGTACTGCATCAGAAACCTGTTATTATACAAAATATAAGGTCTAGAAAAGGAAGCACTTTTAAACTACATAAATCAGAAAGATTCTTAAAATATATATATATATCATAAATGTGTCCTCTAGCGTGCATTTAAAAAGGAACATACTTTAGATTTGATGGGTTCTAAATATGCCAAAAAAACACTTTTTAAACAAATTATGTTGTTAATGACACAATTAGAGAAACAATATATTAATTATTGTTCTTTCTTGCTCTTTCCGCCATCTGTCACACACATTTTCAGTCTGATTTACATTATTTTGTGCAATGTCACTCACTGCGTGCTCTACATCTGAGTCAACTGCTGCTCTTTTCCTTTACTTCAGCCCTCGCTGAGACTAATGCCTTTTGACAAGTTGAACCAAAACTCAAAAGAAAGTTGTGGTATGACGAGGAGGGCCTTGTCTACCTGGAAATATTGACTGATATAACTCACTTAGTGGTGGGTTTCATGGGGACTACAGTTCTACGGGGCACTGGTGTGGAAGACTGCCTTCAGGAGGCTGTTGTGCACCGCGAGTCGATTCATGAACAGAAGCATCAGACAGTCTGCGAGTGTGTTTACCCAAGCAAAGGTAGACTTGTGGGACTGGTATAAGTCAAACAGAAGAAAATAGACAAGCATGTAGGAAGTGGAAAGACAGAGGAGAATATAGGGTGAGAGACATAATACTACCCTAACTCTAGATAACTCTAGATAAATATAATCTATATTGTTTGCTCATGAAGCTCAGTGAAGCTTTTTTAGTTGACAAATTTGATATGAAATGTATTTAATTGAAGTATATAGCACTTATGGAAGTATACTGGAAATAATATATTTGTTTATTCAATTATTGTTCTTCAGAAGTCCCTGTAGATGAGTGTTAAAAAGAAAGTTTGAGCCAAAACATTGTGAAACATATTGCAGGCATGACACACATCCAGAGGAACGTCACCAACCCACAATGAGCAAGAGACAACGGTAAAGCATTAGCGAGGAAATAAGAAAGGGAACTAAGATGAAGTAGTGAAAGGTTGATGTAGATGTGGTGTTTGTTTTCCGTCAAGCATACAATTGTATCTTTAACAGACTCTTCTTTAAGTCAGAAGCCCTAAACATGTGTATGGCTCCTTTGTTAAAATATGGTGACAGACAGGTGGCCAGTGACTTAGGACTAGATTAGAAAGATATCAGACAATAAAAAACACTTTAAATTCCAAAGATATTTGTGATGCAACGTAAGGACATGATTTGATACCCCATTATGTCAGTCAAACATCACTAAATTGCAATCAAGCATTCGTTAACATAATATAAACATGTTTGCACTATCATTTTCCTTTAGTTGGATCAACTTTTAAATGTGTTAGAGTACTGCTTTGCATGCAGTTACCTTATCTATTTCAGGCTATGACCTGGAACAGCTGTTACAGCTACAGCACTCACTACTAGCTAAGCAAAACAAGTTCAAACTGAAACTAAAACTCTGTCTGAAGCAACATAACTACACTAACTAAAAGGATAGACATATATTAATTGATAAGGATTCAAGATAAATAGTCACTTCAATATAATGTGTTGTTCAACAGACATGTTTCTTGTATATAGTGTGCATTAGCTTATGACACTCATATTGTGGTTAGGCCTACAGAGACACATTTTGTTTGTGGTTTGTCGTCATGACCGCAAGATGTTCCTGCAAAATACTCCTTTCCTTTTGCAAGAAAATAAGGGCAACTTGTGCCTTCTGCAGTTGAATAAAAAGTTGGTCATATTGATGCTGACAAGAATGACAAAGGTATTTATTTAAACCTAGCAGTAGATCCTCACTTAACCTTATCGCATGATTTAGTTCCAAAAATATAATAAATTGTGTTGCACAGGTGAAATTAAAGTAGTTGATAATGTTGGATGTTGCTCAGTAGTACCCATATTGGATTGGTTTTACATGCTGAAGGTATTTAAGGTATAACAAGTTCATTTAAGTTGTCAAATTTAAAGCTACGCCACTTCCTGAAGAAAGGTCACGACCATTTCCAACTTTAACAACACTCAACAGCTATCTGTGGTCTGTGAGGAACTGCAATGTGCCTGTTAGACCTGGCACATAGCCTAATTTTTACATAAGAAATGTAATTAGAAAACTAAAAGCTTGCAATATGTAAACATAATGCAAGTGCAGAGGCTTGTGATAAGCTATAGTGAGCCAAGGGCAGACAACAGGTTCCAGTTTCACACGTGTAACAAGATAAAACGTTCACTTCCTTCCCTGTTACAACTTTATTCTATTGTGAAACTTCCTGTAAAGCTTGAGTGACAATTTAGAAATAAACCTAAAATAACCTAACGTTAGCTAAGCTATGAAGAACAAGTAGAAAGTAGTTGTAACATTAGGCTGCAGCAACAGCAAGAGCACACAGTCATGTTTATAAGGCTAAAGTGCTCAGCTAAAGTGTTACTTAGTTAACGGCATGTTGGGGCACAAACGTTAACGTTACGTACCGGTGAATGAAAGGTGAAATTAAAGTTGGAGGAATTCATTGACGTGGTTGTTGTCAGCCGTATCCTATCCGTAACCTCAGTGTTTACAAGTGAACTGGCGTGAGTGCAGGAATTTTAGTGAGCAAGCAGTGACGGAAAAAAGCAAGCCTGAGGGCGGGACTTCATCCAGTCATCGTTATGACTCACTCGCGCTGCTGGCCAATGGAGACTGACGTTGCCACATGGCCGCCATCTTGCTACAGGCAGTGCTCTCATTCATAACATTATGGTTTACTATTTAAATAACCATAGCTTGCTCAATTTTCAACCAATTTTCAAACGGTTTGGTTTTTTATAAACATCAAAGATGTAGTTATGATACTGCATACTTATAATCATGGACTTTCTTATGAAAATAACATTAAGCAGATAAAGCAATAGCTATACACACACACAAGGTATTTATATTAAATATTTGCCGGTGTATATATTTCCATTTATGTTATTATATTGTTAATATTTAAAATAAATTATAAAATTAAAATAAAATATATTTATATTTTATATATAAAAATCGGTCTCATGTTACCACTCTGTAAGCCAAGAGTTGTTAATTTAGCAATGCCTTAGCTTGAAGAACAGGGACACAATTAATGACAATAGCATATGGTGGTATATTATTTAGATATTCACACCTGTATCAGAAGAACCAAACCAACATAAAATTAGCTCACAGACAGTAGGTCCTGGCCAGTTTTTTTTTTTTCGTCAGTGCCAAAAAACTGCACTACTTAAATCCGTTTTTAAGTCAAACTGAAAGCTTTTTAGAATGCTTATTTTTACAGCTTTTTGTCTGCCAATATATATATTGGCAGACAAATGTATTTGTTTACGTTTTAAAAATAATTGTTATCCTGCTAGAAAACAGGATTCGAGATTTTTCAAGATTCAAAGGTTTTATGGTCATATGCAGTGCAGTGGTCATATGTACAAAAGTGGTGCAGCACGAAAAACTTAGATGTTTATATATAAGCTTCACACATTGTCTTCTTCAGTGATTATTTGCTGATTCTTAGGAATAATAATTTGGAGTCTTAATTTCTCCTTCTCCAGCTCAATTTTGTCGTGTTCCACTGGTGCATCATAAACACGTTGGGTAGTGAAAGTGCAATCGGATTCTCTAAAGTACTGCAGTCTCTTCTCCTAAGTCCTTTTGAATTCTCCTATCCACTATCCCTTAACCCAGGGGTGGCGAGACCCCGACGGGGTGTCGCGAGATGATTTCAGAATCCTCTTGATGTGACCCCTGAGGTGTTTAAAAAAAAANAACACCATCACACTCACTAATGCATAGACTAGTCTTGAGACTGTGTTATCAACATGTCAATGTATTATAAACATTTTTATGTGACTTTGAACTACCAGTGACATAAACAATAAAAAAATAAAAGAATGAACAATGATGGAAAAAGCCCACTTATCTTCTAGGGTTGAACAATTAATCGAAATATTCATCAAAATCTCAATATGGCCTACTGCAATTTTCAAGTAATATACAATAAATATGGTCATGCTAAAGATGTTCTGACCATCACATCATATTCTACACTTAAAAAAACATCTTTGTTTCGCATAGATCTGCACAAATTCACACCATAAATCATGTTTCAACATGTAGTTAGTTTCAATTGCATTAGATATTTATTCAAACTTGCTTCAGCCCTATTATCTTCCATAAATCGATGTCAAAACTATGTGAGCTGTCATCAGCCTTAAATGAACAAGCAACACATCCCTTGAAAGTGCTTACAAGACAAAAATGGAGGGCTTCAAACAAGAAAACCAAATTCTAACAAATACTGACTTCACCTCAATAAATGAGGGTTGAAAGCACTCAAGCATGTCCATACTGGGTTTCCACTGTGTTCAGTCCACAAGCCCCTGAAAAAAGGATGGAACACTTCTAGACATAGTCCTGGTAGTCTACAGAGCTTTCCAGATATGGTTTTAACTCAGGCATCTGAGGCTCAGAGAGAGAAACTCCTTGCTTGCGTGGCAGAGCGACTGGCTTCCTCATTTGATGGTGAAATCGCTTCATGATCTCAGTGTTCTGGATACAGGCAAACCTGGCCATCAACCCCTGGCCATATGGCAATGGTGAGGCACAAGTGACAACGACTCTACGCAGGCGTTCACCTCCTTGTGATGAGCAAGCAGTTATGGCTATGAGAGATTTCCCTTGAGCACCCCAGACAGCGAGCCTGAAAGCTTAACAGCCACTCAATACAATGCATGAAAGCACATCCCTCTCTGCAGCAACTGCTGAGTGCTGAACCAGGGGCTTCCAACAGCTCTCATCGACACAATATACTGCACAAGACAAGAGATTGCACACTGTTGCCTCTGTCAAATGTAAGCTCATTTGAATGATGATCAGCATCAATGGGCCCCTGTAACACCTTCTTTGAGCCCAAGGAAGTACGTCACAAGACATGGCTGAAGAAGCCCATCCGCTCCTGCCACGCAAGCCAAAGGGAGGGCAATGCCACTCAGATGCCTGAGTACAAAACATATCTGCGAAAAGCTCTCAGACTACCAGACCTATGTCCTAGCAAGTGTTCCATCTTTTTCTCAGGGCCTTGTGGACTAACACAGTGAACCCAGTATCGGACATGTTGAGCTGGCTTTTTCACCCTCATGTTATTGGAGGTGACAGCCATCATTTGTTAATTGGTTTCTTCTGTTTGAAAGCTAATGTTGTCCTTGTAGCACTTCAAGCATGGTTGCTTGTTCATTTAATGCTGATACAGTCATAGTTTTGACAATGATTTATGGAGGAGTAATAGGGCTGAACAAAGGTTGTGAATAAATACTAATGCCATTGAAAAATATGTTGCACCAAGATCGATTATTGTGTGATATTTGTGCAGATCTATCGCCGAACAAAGATGTTTTTTTAAGTGTAGAATATGATGTGATGGTCAGAACATCTTTAGCATGACCATATTTATTGTATATTACTTGAAAATTGCAGTAGGCCATATTGAGATTTTGATGAATATTTCGATTAATTGTTCAACCCTAGAAGATAAGTGGGCTTTTTCCATCATTGTTCATTCTTTTATTTTTTTATTACCTCGCGATGTCACTGGTAGTTCAAAGTCACATAAAAATGTTTATAATACATTGACATGTTGATAACACAGTCTCAAGACTAGTCTATGCATTAGTTAGTGTGATGGTGTTCATGAGGTGTCGCTCTGCGTCGCTCTAGGATGGATGAATACAATTATTACAGTATACCCACTACAAAAAAGTAGACTACACCAATGGTTAGCAGTAACTTGGTATGCACGTATTTCATGTTAGCTTAGCTTCTTAGCCTGAGCTAGCTCTGTTTACTTCCAGTTCGGAGGCAGCAGGTCCCGCCTCGGCTCCGCCTCTTTGCCCTTATTTGGAGCAGGCGGGATTAGACGCTGACGTCGCTGTCAAGCCGTTAGTGGCCGACTCCGCCTACTAAGGGCTTCTCGGCAACTCTGCAGAATCCTATGGGTGACGTCACGGACACTACGTCACGAATGCACAGCGATCCATGCACAGAAAGCGGTTTGTGTGTGCAGGTTCAGAGGTTTTAAACGGAAAACAAATGTGTGGATCAAAAATACACATTTAAAACTTTTTTCTGAATTAGGATTTTATTTACATGTATATGAAACGGAACACATTTGTGTGTGTGTATTGAAAAACACAAGTATGGATCTGGAAATACAAGTGTGAATCCTTCTGTGTGCATGTGTGTATTATGAGACTGTTCTGAGCCCATACTTTTCAAACACTAGGTGCAGCTCAAAGTCCTTTAACAACATGGCACACATAACACATTCAAACAGAGAACAAGAACATTGAATTAAGTGCCTTTTTGTGCACATAAAGAGCATAAAACATATTCTAATAATTGAAGGAACGCAAGGATGTAAAAAAGGTATGATGATAACAAGTTATAATGATCCTAAAGTTCACAACAGATGACCTTCTCACTAAAACAAAGGAAGACATAAGACCAAATGATTACAAAGAATACAAATATAAAAGGAAAAATATATATATGTACAAACAGGGGATTTTAGGATTTTTTTAGAGCCTGCTGAAGACGACCTTAGGGCTCGTCCAAGGACATAAAAGGACAGAATCAGTGATGTATGAGGGGGGCAAACCATTAGGAACTTTATAAACCAGTAAAATGAATTTAATCAGAAATATGATTTTTAGTGCGGGTTTGAATGCTGTTGAATGCAATATTGAAAAATTGAGA